GCACCGCAGTGGCTTGGCATGTGCCTTGCCGCCACTATAATCGACCACTGCCATTCGTGCTCGCACACACACCATCCCAAGAGCTCCAGCCTTGCTTCGCCCCGTCGTTCGTGGACGCACGCCACGAGCCGTGGACTTATGCACGCTCACTTGCATGTGGTGACGCACGGCCGTGCCTCCGCATGACGTCGCGTGAGCCTTGGGACCACACCGATGCGGCCGTTCGCATGCCCATGCGCAGTCCTACGCTGAGCCGCGTGTGCGAGCCAACGCCATAGCCACTGGAGCTAAGTCCGTGAACAACAGCCATCATTCGACCAAGCCTTAGCCACGTCTTGGCCAGCCGTAGCCGCGTCTGGCCAACTATAGCAAGATGCAGCCAGCCGCAACTGGCTGTAGCTGGCCACAGCCAGCCAAAGGCAGCCATAGCCAGCCTTGGCCAACCATAGCCACTTGTAGCCAGCCGCAGCCAGCCACAGCGAGCCATAGCAAGCCACAGCAGGCCGTAGCTGGTCGCAGCTGGCTAGAGGTAGCCATAGCCCTCCGGGACAAGTTACAGCAGCCCTTGGGCTTCCACATCTTTGTCGCAAAGTCGAATCCTAGTCGAACGCCATTCCCGACACCGACAAAAGCCCCTTCCTGCTCATTCTTATACTCGTTCGTACACTTACAATACGTGATCTTGATCTATTTATATCTATCGGCACCATGCCGTCGATGTATTGAGTCTGTTCCCGACATTCTGGCTGCCTCGTTAAACGAGGGCGAGCCGTTGAGAAACCGTGTGATCCCTAGCATCGTACCGATGACAAGTGGAGTCTTCCGAGGTCCCGGTCGCCTTGCCTTGCAAGTGCGTGCCGTTTAGGAGATATCATGACCCCGTCTACTGCGAGTTGTACCCTCTGGACCATGAACCCTAGTCGTATGTCTTATTGAGACCATGGAAAGCCCCATCTCGCATCTTTCCGTATACGCATATCTACCTTGTTGGGCCCTAATCTTACGACCGCCCTATCTGTCCATGACTGTCTTACAGGATCTACCCATTCCCCAGCTATGGAATGTGCTACTCCGCAGTCGTGTCGAGTTGTTGCGTCTTTTGGTCGTGTTTGGTTCTTATCGCTGGTTGTTGGTGTTGTTGCCTGTGTGCCGAGCCTTCGAGCCGGCTGAGGGATCATACCTCGTTTGGACGTTACGATCGCGGGATCCGTCTCGCCATGACCGTGATGCCGAGTGTAACTCGACCCCTTGCTTTTTAGCTGACTTCATAGTACCACGAGTGTTAGCTCCTGTCTTCGGCCCTAGAACATGGTCGTGATGGATTCGATGTCGATACTAACATCGATGCGGATATCACCCGCACGCTTTGAGTCCTCCATGACCAAGTCCTGTGGGAGATGACCTGGGAGATAACAATCATGGAACGATAGATGCCAACTCATTGGTGTAGCTTGTGGCCGCGAGTTCGCCTCGCCATGACCATGGAGCTACGCCACTCTTTTGCTTTTACTTGCCTCTTCGTGCTCAAACCCCCGTATGCTTGTACCTTGTATGGCCATCACATCTCTTTGATTCCCGTGGTGACAACCACACCGCTATGAATTAGAGAGATGTCTTAGTGCCAGTGCACCTAAGTTGGGTACCCTACGAGTGGTTTGCGCACTTGGTGTTTGTCGTTTCCTTCCAATGCCCCGTCTTTCGTCGTGGCGCGAGTGATGGAAGAAGTAGACCTTGTCCCTTGTTGTTCTTGCTCTTGTTGCACCGTTAGCCCACTCTGTTCGATTCCATCTTGCCCATGACGATTGGATCAAAGACCGGATTATTCCCTTTGGGTTAGCGAAGCTATGGTCTATGTCGTACCTCGGACCCGTGCGTGTTGACCCGATCGACCGTCTAAAACCATCTTTCTCGAAGATGTGTTTGAGAACATGACATGGATGTGCCTAGCTAACCCCGCATCTTTTGCCGTGTTGAGCGACTCTTTTCTCGGCTCCCGACGTTATTGTGTCGTGTGGATCGAGGGAAAACGTTGACGTCCAATCTCCTTGCGCTACCGCTTTCTACCATAGCGGGCGAGCCGAAGTACGTTGGAGCCAAGTTACAATAGTGTAAATCATTCTTGTATGCTACTCGTGTCCATTTGTGACTTGCGGGATAAGGCTATAAGAGCCGAACCCCGTTGTTCTTCTTTCTTGGGGCCCGATTTCCAATCCCCATCAACCCAATGACACCGGATAGAAAGATCGTGAGCCGTGGTGTTTGCTCTGGATAAGCTCTGGCTTAAACCGTTTATCGTAAAGCCATACTGGCATGGCCATGACTTAAGCTTGTGCTCAGCATACCACCACTCGTGTTTCTTTGACCCATGGATCGGACATCAGCCGAGAGGGCCAAGTCATTTCCTCTTTGTGTTCCTTTTGGGTCTTGTCGCCTTTTTGGAACATTGTTTGTTCTCTTGCCTTGAGTGTGTTTTGGAGGTAATTGCCACGAGGACAACGTTGGATTGGAACCCGATGGAGAAGGAGAACGTGATCGACGACAGGACCCTAGGAGGAGGAGACCTTGCTGATCGACTACACCGACTAACGAAGATTTGTACCACTACTACCTCGACATCGTAGGTGTCATGGCAGCACCCTCTTTTAGAGAATCCTATTAGACATTGCATACTATCTAGAACTGCTAGCACTTTATAATTATTCCTTGCTAGTGCTTTGATGCATGCTACTACCTGAGCCATTATTACCCTGATGCAACCCACTCTACCATGTCACCCTGCTTTGCGCCCTCGCTCACTTATATATATGCTTACTTGCCTGCTTGTTTGCATATTATACCACTATACTTACTTTTAACTCCACTTCGCATTATATCTGGGATGTGATGCTGGTGGTGAACCCCTGGGAATGGTTTGGCTATGGGTGCCGGACTTGGTGGTGTGTGAGCGTGATGCGTGTGTCTTGGGTGCGTGGAGAGTGAGGGTTGTGTCGACCGAGATGTAATAACGACGAGCCTGGGGCGAGTTTTGCCATGTGGTGCTACCTGGGCACTTGGATATGGAATACCTGTGGCGGGTAAATGGTAATTGGAGGTGGCCTTGGGTGTGAACCTCAGAGAGGTGGAACCCGGGGTAGAGGTGCTGTGGTGGCACGTAAAATGGAAACCCTGATGAAGACATTCTGGCTTGGTCATCCCTAAAAACTTACTAGTACTCAGATTCACTGGGAATCCTATACATCCCACTCGCCCTATATGGTGCGGGACGGTCGGACTACTTGGTAGAGCGATGCCACTACTGCTAGGCGAACGTGTGCAAGGAGGTACGGGGCGCGCGGTTTTCCCCCACACCCTTCCGAGACTTTAGGAGGCCTTGTGGACCCGGCTCTTGACATCCGGAGGGCCCCGGCTCTGTCTATGACTCACAGTATCAGCCATCCCAGACTAGACTTGGGATGTTCCAGGGCTGAGAGGTAGGGTGGCATCGTTCTAGGCTAGCAAGCGACCGGAATTCTGCCTAGGAGATACATGGCTCCGAGGATGGCTAATCTTGTGGGTATGTAAAACCTCTGCAGAGTGTATGGTTGATCGATCGATACATATGCCGACTTGTCGGCTATGGACCTTTCCTGGGTTTCGCTTAAACTAGATAGAAGATGAGTCCTTTTTTCTCCCTCCAGGGTTGGGGTATTTTTCTGTCGTGAGCCTTGGGGGCTGTGGACCGTTGAGACAAGGCCGAGAGGGAGTTGGCCTGTCGACCTGAGTGTGTGAGATGAGATATGGTGTGGTGGTGTGGAGATGGTTTGGGATGGATGGTTGGTGGATGGATATGGATGGCGTGGTGGAGAATGTGTTAAAAATGGGATACTATTATTATATTACTAGTATTATTTACTTCTCATGCGCTAAGAATGCAAACCACAGCCCAATATTAGGATCGCCAGATCCATTGTTTATCTTTTCCACTAAAGCTCATCGGTGCTGACCATGGCCTGCACACATCTGGCGGTGTGCAGATTTTCTACTTCTCAGAGATGTTGACTTTAGAAGGATTAGGAGGTCTCGTGCCTACGCTCAAGTTTGGTTCGGAGATAGAATCTACGCTGCACTACGCCAACTCTGATGATGCCCGTGAAGGAGCCTTCACTCGATAGTCTTCCGTTAGATTAACTCTATAATAGATGTGTTCCCTAGTAATGTAATATCTTGTATTCTTGTAATCTTACGATGTATGACTGTGACATCGACTGAAATATGATAATATGATGGAATCAGTTCTTGGTTTCATCATATTATAATTCATTATGTGGAATTTTCCTTCGCAGAAAATTGAGGATGTTTCACCCAAGTACATGCTACTGTGAGCACGACCGTCCAAGTACGAGGACGAGAAAGAAAAGGAGAGGCTACAACATGTTGTGTAAGCAACGATGTGACTTGTGAGAGGGGAGAGAGAACCTGTTAGTGTTTACGTATGGCCAAGTTTAGGGACTAAAAAATAATAATTTTCTAAGTTAGGGACCAACATGGCACCTAGAGCAAACAAATTATCGGATACATTGCTTTATAAAAGCAGGGTTTTCCTCAAGCAAATAAATTATAAATCCACCTTCATCCGTACAGGCCTACCATCTGGGAAAAAATCCACGTAACTGGGCCTTTTTTTTTTGAGGGAGTAACTGGGCCTTAATGGCACGCCCATTCGGATTAGATCTGGGCTGGCGTATCCCAAAATGGTTTGTGGTGGCCCAATCGGTGCGTAATTTTCTCGGCCCAAGCGACCAGCTTAGAAAGTACGCTAAAAACAACCAAATCACCCTTCACCCCCAAATCGACGCGCGTGAGAAGTAAAGCAACCCCCCTGATCCCAAAATCGGCAACCGCCCCGCGAGGGCCGCGGCCACCTCTCCCCCGCCTCCGGCCTCCGGCCGCGATCCGCCGAACCTTGCATATAATCCCACCCCATCCGCTCCGCTCGCCCCACGGCGTCTGGCGCGATCGCCATGGCCGACTGGGCGGGGCTCCACGAGGACCTGCTCGACCTCGTCGTCGTGCGCCTCTCGTCGCTCGACCTCCTCCGCTTCCGCGCGCTCGCCGTCTCTCTCTGGCGCACCGCCGCCCACCGCCTTCACCGCCCGCCGCGGCTGCCGCACCCGACCGCCCAGCTGCTCCTCCCCACGGATGTCGGCGCCGACCTCGGCCTCGACCGCGCCGCCTAATCGTGTGCTCCGACCGTGAGGTCTCCGTGGGCACCCTCCCAAGCGCGCCTTGGCGCGTGAACCCGACGATTCGTGTCTCTCGGCTCCGCTGGTGATGATTGTCGCCATGACGACGCGTGGCGAGATGCACCTGCTCGACCTCGTTTCCGGCGCGCGCAAGCCGCTCCCAGCCGTCGCCACGCGCCCCCCGTCGCCGCCCGCGTCGAGGGCCTCAAAATCAAAGCACCTCGGCGGCGGCGTCCTCCCCCAATCGATGCCGTCATCCAGAAGGCCGTCCCGGTGCCCACCCCCGGCGGCGGTGTCATGGTCCTGGCCATCTACCGGCAGCTGAACCACCGCAACCAGTGGGCCACGGCGCGACCGGGCGACCGCGCGTGCGTGGAAATCCGTGGCGCCGACCAGCATCCCTCCGTGGGTCGATGTGGTCGTCCACCGGGCCAGCTCACGCCAATACGAGGTACGGGATGATGTACGTCTTCCCGGAGCTCTACGATCTCAACTCCGCCTTCCCCGAGATCATCCCCTCCGTGACGCGCCGCCCGAACGCGTACGTGGAGCGCAGCTTCCTGGTGGAGTCCCCCCGCGGCGAGCTGATGCAGGTGGAGCTGCTCCGCCCCGTGACGGCCGCGGGAGGAGAAGGGTTCGTGGTACGCGTGCTGGACGAGTGCTGGGAGACGTGGGAGGACACGGAAGACATCGGCGACGCCGCCGTGCTCGTGGATGCGGCGGGCGCCGTGGCCGCGTCCACCAGGGTGTGTCCCGCGCTGAGGCCCAACACCGTGTACTATGCCGTGGACCTGGAGGGGGAGACGCGGGTGTGGGCGTACAGGCTCGCGGGCAAGCACAAGCGCATCGAGGTCGTGGAGGTGCTCCCGACGGCCGACGGGTACAGGGCGCCGTGCTTCTGGTTCGCGCCGGTGTACTCGCAGCGGCAGCCGTGACTCGTGATTCTACCAAATCCGTTTGCTTGCTGCATTGGCATGCTTATATAGTTGTGTCGGTACTGGACTACGTAATAATGTGGTGATTCGTTTATGAGTTCGTTGCAGTTTGCATCTGTCGGTTGGCGAGAACGACGTTGACGAATGATCTCGATCGAGCACGCTACTCTTGCTCGTCTGTGTTTTCAGGTTTCCTCGCCCGTTGATTTCCATGTGTCAGTAATTCAGTATATTGCAGCTTGCATCTGTATATGCAATATGCATACTTGTCCTGTATATATATATGTCTCTTTTACCTTATTATTATAAGTCGTCAGCATGAATTCAGTTTTCTCGTATAAGAGTGTCTCCAAGGGACCTTACCTAAACCCAAAATGAATAGCAAAAGACTCAAAATCAGCTTTCAACAGAGTATCTATACGGAAAACCTATTTTAGGTTGCCTAAGAGGCATAGCCTAAATATGGGTATCCTTTCTCCTGAAAACCCATTTGCAGAAAAGATTCTCTTCTGGATGTTGTTGTTGGTGAAGATATCGAATATGTATTGAACCTTTTGCTTGTAGCGCTATCCAAAGGACGAATGAGTCTTGTATTTTGGATGGTGTTGTTGAAGATAGGCTAAGCGGCTGTGTGCTACCACCTGATTTCAGTTTGGGAGGAGCTGCTGCGGCGGCTGTGTGCTACCCTGATTTAAGGTCATGTTTCGTTGTCCCTTCTAAATTTTAGTCGCTGTCTTATCAAATGTTTGAACATATATATGAAGTATAGTTTGCGACTAATTTATGTGACGAATCTTTTAAGCCTAATTAGTTCATGATTTGACAATGTGGTGCTACTACAGTAAACATATGCTAATGACGAATTAATTAGGCTTAAAAAATTCGTCTCGTGGAGTACTGATGGATTAAGTAATTTATTTTTTTATTAGTATCCGAACATCCCATGCAACATTCTCCCGACACGTCTCCTAAATTTTAGTCACTAGATTCAAACGCCACATTAAGTTTGGGAGGAGCTGTGCTGCTAATGTCACAACTAGGCGCCTATGCCCTTAGGACTGAACTGTTCAGATTAGCGGCTACTATGTTCATATTTTTTTTACCTTGTTCGCTTGGCTGATAAGTTATCGCTGAAAAAGGCTGTTCGTTTGGCTGGGCTTGTTCGTTGCTGGATCGTGAAGAAGTACTGCTGGCTGGTTTGGTGTGAGAGAAAAATACTGTTCCGGCTGGAAATTTACGATCGTTTACGACAAACGAACATGCCATACTGTTGGCTGATTTATTGTGAGAAAAAATACTATTTATTGATGAAAAAAATATAGCTTATAAGCTAAGCATGCTTCTTGTTCGAAGTAGCTGTGCGGTGTGACTCTGGGAGAAGATTAACAGATTTGTCACACCTGTACGTGAGCTGAAAAATGCACTCCATCTTACTATACCCTTGTTCAAAGTATCAGAGCCTGGGATCGGAGAAGATTAACATATTTGCCACGCCTGTACATGAGCTGAAAAATGCACTCCAGTTTACTCAGCCTGTTCGGGAGGCCGTATCGTATCGTGGATTATTTACTGTTGACTGGTTTGGTGTGAGAGAAAAACACTGTTCCTGGCTGGAAATTTACGATCGTTTACGAGCAAGCGAACAGGCTGACTATACCTGAAAGCATTTTTGGGTGAATGAGGTTGCGTAATCTGGGCATTCCCGTGCAAGCCTATCGAATGCATTTGTGTGTTTTAAGCAGGATCGTGGATTTCCTAACTTGAATCACCAGTGCTCGATATTGTTATTGTGTAATCTGGGCATTCCGGTGCTTGGCAAAGATTAGTCGAATGGTCCCTTTAGTGGATACTATGGGCTCGTTTAGGATTTTAGGGTCGCTCCGCTGCACATTTTTATAAACTTTGTTTTCAACTTGACAAACCAAACGAACGAAATAGCTCCACAAACTTAGCTCTAGGAAAAATGATATATCAAATGTGTTTCCCCTAGGAATGAGTTAAGAAGTTAGTCTGATATTAGATGCCAAAATTTGGTTACTATTCAGAGAAAAATACACTACAAGCAAACATACTTTAGATCTTGTAAGTGCACTACTCTTCACATCATTGAATCCCATGAATTTGTGTAAGCCATTGCTGCTTTTAAAACTCCGATGATTCTACCAATAACATCTGAACATGTACCAACTAGGATATGGTTACTTACTTTTGAAATAAATTTTAAAATGAAATTAAAAAATCACAGGACTAAAGTAGTTTCGGTGCAAAGAGAATATTAAAGGGCGTATCCAGTGCAGAGAACTTCCGCTCTGTGCGGGGTCTGGAGAAAGGTGTCAGTGGCAAGCCTTAACCCCGCATATGCAATGCGAGGAGACCACGACTCGAACCCGGGACCTTTCGGTCACAGGCGGTAAGACTCTACCGCTTGCACCAGACCCGCCCTTCTACAAAGAGAATATTAGATTCCTAAAATATGTTCTTTACTTTTGGCATAATCTGGTTAAATGACATCTCAAACGTTTTTTCACTCAATTACCAAATCAAACTTGAGCTTCGACGGATGGGGCCAAGACAACAGGTTAAGTGACAACTCAAACGGTGACAAAGGCGGTTTCGGAGGACCGTCCGCTAGGACATGTTAGTGCTAGTCTGGGCATTGTTCTGGCGAACTGTTGCGCACCGTCCGCCAGGGCATAAGAGAGCCACAATTGGTCCAGCTAAGGTTAACTAGTTTGCAAAAATGAACTTTAGATGATGATTATGTACACGATGTTCATGATTATCAAGATGCAATGCTGGGTCATGGCCCAACTTCATCATGTTGGATACATGATTTCTACCCCGTAACAATCGACAATGAGATCGAGGACTCGGAGTTGTCCTTGTGAGGAGAGAACCTAGGAGCACCCCTCCCATTACATATAATGGCGGAAAATTGGCCTCTATAGACAATGGCGGAAACTTGGCCTATTGTCGATGAAATCAACACATGTAATGGCGACTTCATCATGGCAATCATTGAAGTTATTGTAGTAGGTAACAAAATTCCGACCAAAGATTATCTGAATTTGCTAATAGATTTATTTGGGCTAATCTTAAGCAATATAGATCTAAAGAACTACCATAAACGAGAAATGTGTCCTCTCTCTTTCTTGTCATCGGCAGACTCAGCGGAGGAAAGGAGAGGACGCTAACCAACGACAGCGAGAAGCGAGAAGCGGCAGCAGTTGTCTCTTAGGCGGCGGCTGCTCGAAACTGAGTCACGTGAAAAGAGCCCTCTGTGATTTTACTTCACTTATTAGCCGTGATTTCATAAAATCAATGTGAGGCAAGTAGTAAGTTGATTTTTAGACCATTAGCATTTGAAAAGTTGATGTTTGAAGAAGACTCTGAATATTCTAGTCTATCCCCCCTATAATACACTAGTTAGAATAAATGTACAGCCACACAACAAATGGCTGCTCCACAGTCATGACCTCTGCTACATCCACATCCATGAATGCACCCAGAAAATATAACACCATCAAAACGGATGCACCAGATTATCTCTTACCCATTCTCTCTTATTACTCATCCAAATCCGACGGCTCATGTTTAGTGTGTCTGCCCTCCCGTGGACCTCCCACGCGCATGCACCTGCAGGTCAGGCTCGCGTTGATTTCGGTTGCCCCCGTCCACCATCTCGATGAATCACGACGCTTCCTTCCCCACCGCGGCATCGCGCCCATCGCCGCGCCCCCCATCTCCCACCAGACTGCGCCTGCGTCCGCCCTCCTCTCCCCCCCGCGTGCCGCCGCGGCCTCGCGACCCCCGGCCGCCGACATTCCCGATGGCCTCTTTCCCTTTCCCTCTCCATCTGCATCTCCCCTCCAAATCCTTCCGCATAGCCTCGATGATGGCGGCTGCATTGGCCCACGGCACCAGGAGACCAAAGGCCCGAGGAAAGAAGACGCGCCCTCCATGGTGCCCTCCTGCGCGGCGCCTGCGTTGTAGGCCATCAGGGCCTCCTACGTCCTACACGGCAGTAGAGGCCGCAGCCGCATCCGCACCACCAGGAGACCAAAGGCCCGAGGAAAGAAGACCTCTGTCGGTGTTTCGTACAAGCACCGGCAAGTAAATTTATAGTAATGCGCGTTAGGCTCGGATGGTGCGCCAAAGGACACAAGATTTATACTGGTTTGGGCCGAAAGTCCCTACGTCCAGTTTGTTGCTGCTCGTGTTATTAGCACCATGAACGGTTTGCAGTAAGGGGTACAAACGATCGAGAGAGGGACTGGTCCCAAGTCTCTGATGGAAGGGTTGAAGGGATGTCAAGAGGTTCGACACAACTTGACTATGCGTATCTGAGAGTCGTCTCGTTCTATCTCCTCACTTATGGAGGAAGCGCATCCCCTTTTATAGATGAAGGGGCTGGCTTTACAAGGGTCAGGGCTTTAGGATGCGTACTCTACTTAGTCTTGTGGCTCACGTCTACCCGGCCTGGTTCTTCATTCTGATGAGTACGAGGGAAGATAAGCGCCTACAATACTGTCGATGTCCCTGTAGAATGTTAGGTTGGGTACAGAATGCTACCCTACGCAGGGTATGGGTCGCAGTACAGTGGTTTTGACTTTTGAGCCTCCCCCAGCCTTGCTCCGCACGCCTTCTGGTTCCTATGAGTCTTCGTCGGAGGGACGCGAGGTCGGGGTCTGGAGTAGCGCCGTGGCCAAGGTCTTCTGTCTTGGTGGACCTAAGGGGTCGGGAAGCGGGCGCCGCTCCCTTGGGTCCACCGCGTGGTGACGGAATATCCCCCGTTCGTGGAGATAGCAAATCCTTTTCTGGAGCATAGTGGTTGTCGTATATCTTTGTCGGGTTTCATGTCCCAGAGCTGAAGGCGGCGCCTACAACTCTACAGGGTGGAGAGCTCGCACCTGTGACACCTTTCGGGCTCTGCGGCGCTTAGAAGGGCCTAAAGCGCCCGTGCCATCATCCCCTGGCAGTACTTTTCCTACCAGGGTGTA